TGCTGTGGTTTGGAACATGTATTAATGACATTATATAATGAAATCTTGTAACTTCACATACAGTGTTGCCACACATATTTTATTAGGAGAATATTGACTTGCAAATTATGAGTTTTCAGATGATACATCGCAAGACATCCTTTGTAGAAAGATTATTACAATAGTGTGTAGAGTAGTGGTCTCCAAAATGGTCTTCAAGTGGTCACCCCCAGGGAGTGCACAAGAGGATCACTGGGGGTGCGTGGCAGGAGGGACGTCTTTTTTTTTTTTCTTCAGCAGTTCGGGCGGGAGTCCGAGGTTTTTTTTGTTTTTTTTTGCTTTGGCAAAAATAGTAGAGCTGGCGCAGCAGGGGGGTGCATGCTGAAATTTTTTTTACTGATGGGGTGTGCAATCAAAAAAGTTTGGAGACCACTGGTGTAGAGTATGGACACGGGTAAATTCTTGGTCCCTTGAAAATGATACCCTTGCTCTCCACACCATTTTTGTTCTTTATAATTGTTTCGGTCATAGGAGTGATTTTTTTTTAACCAAAATATTTAACTCCGCATAGCCCCTAGCATGCACATAGTTATACTGATGCCCTACACTTATTCCCCTTCCAATACAGGAATAACTATGCTGGTATAAGCACAATTACATCAATTTAACTGTATCCTCACTAGGAGAGTAGTAGGTTTAATGTGGTGTGATCCTTTATTTTTTTAAATGACACATGCTGAAAAGAGAAAACTTTGGTAGGGAGTTAAGCTGAGGTGAGGGAAAAAGAGGAGTGCAATAGTTATATATATAGTGTTATCTCAGCATTCCTCTAGCCCCTCACCCCAAATGTGTTTCTGTCTATCATTTGTGCCCTTCAGAACTCCTATGTGCCACCACTTCCTTTGCCATCTTTGCCAATGGAAATGATACTAACTCTTTCTCTCAGGGAGGTTGTGAGGGGAGTGAACACTACAGTCATTGGGTACTATAGGTATCTCAGCAAGCATTCTGGTGTGTGTGGCATTATTCCTTCTTCTAGAACTAATACATTAATTTTTTTTAATAGAAAGATTCCTGTCACAACAGAGAGTGGCTGCAAATGGTCCATGATTGTCATGGGTCTGTGGAGCGCTCCTCGATGTCTCAGGCCAGGGCCATCAATGGCAACGGGATTTTTATCATCTCCACACCTCAGAAATTCAAGGTAAAAGTTCAGCAGCATTTAATACAAGGCCCGTATTTTCAAAGTGATCCTGGCTGCCCAAATTGAGCTGCCTGAAAGAGGCCTATTTTTCAAGGGTGGGGGCTGTGGTATATTAAAAGCTCTGTTAACATGGGAGGCTGTCACTTTACAAGTTAAGTTTTTCCTGATCCTGCTTGTAGTCTTTAGGGAAACATGTAATCAGAGTCAGTCTGGAAAGAGTCAGCCTGGAGCAAGGTGGAGTGAGTTGTGCCTCTCTGCCTTACGGAGCAGCCTGTTCTCTCTCTCTCTCTCTCTCAGGATCCTTGCATGTTATTGTTATGAATTCTAAGAAATAAAGTAGTGTCATGATGCAAACTTCCAGCAAGAGTATTATATATTTATTTAACTTCTCTGTGTGTGCCATGAACATAACAGGAGCTCAGCACTGTCTGAAAATCAGCCTCTTTTAAAAGGAGCCACTCTGGGCCCCCAAAATCACTAGTCACTGAGTCTACGAACTTAAGATCATCCTTTTTCCCCATTCAGGCCTGGTTCATACTAGAAGCTCGAGACCCAAGAGTTGGAATCTGGCCATGATTTTCAGAAGCGACCAATGATTTTGAATATCCAGTTGGAAGCACTTAACAATGGGTGCTTGGATATGTCTGAAAATCAGGCTCCTTTAAGATGTTTCAAGTTGGTCCCAAAAAATCATAGCACCCCAAATAATTCATTTTGCTTCTGCATATCTTTGGTCCACTGTACATAACACCTTCAAAGATCTAGAATGATTCTTCCCCCTTTCCTGTCTTGCACAGGTGAAATGAAATGAGTAGATTTCTAAGATTAAAACCGTTGCAGAATAACAGATTCTGAAATGCTTTGTATTGGCCTCGATGGGTGCGCATGTTGGTCCCACAGAATAAAGACACAGCAGCATTTATCTTTTTAACTCTGTTTTCCCTCCAGCCTTCTCTGGATAATTGCATTTCACTGCTGCTGCCAGGGGATGTCGCGGAAAAGGCTGCTCAAGGAGACCAGACAGACAAGACGGACTCTAGAACGTACAGCCTGGCTCAGCTCACGGAGCTGCAGAACAAACTCATGCTGATAGCCACAAAGGCTGAGCAGGGCAGAGAAGAGGTGAACAGGTTCCTGGAGGTAAATCCCGATCTCTGCATTAACCAGGAAATGTGACTTTTTGTACTCCTTTATAATAGTGCTTCCTTTTGATGGGAAGCTCCATTTCTCCAGCAACATGCCTTCCTGTTCCAGAACTGATGTTTTGGAGGAGACTGTCTCGTGCCTTTAGTTCAGTGTTAGGAGGCCAAGGTAGGAACTGGAATGTCCATTCCACGGGAAATTCTGATATTTTGACATTTGTTTTCATTCCAAATAGAATCAAAAACAATAACAAAAAAGGAAATATCAGATTAAATTACGTTTTTGAAACACAAACTCAGATTTGCCATAGACCAGGTGCAGCTCTGAGGTTGCAAGCAGGAAGCGGGGGGAACTTGGGGGGGCGGGCTGGGTGGGAAGTAATTTTCCCATCCTTAGAGAATTTCCCTACAGGAATTGGGACAAAAAGTCCAAATGTCAAAATTTTTCACTAACTGAAAATCCAAAGCTATTTTTTAAGTTCAGGTCAATTAAAATGTATTCTTGCAATACTGTCAAAACAATTTGTTCTGATTTTTATCTTTTTCATTTTCATTTTTTTTAGTGTAAATTAAGTTAAATTTCAAAACAAAAAATCTTTTTGAAGTAAAAAATTGGAACTTTTTGTTTCAAAAATATAAAAATGGGATGTTTCAATAATTTTGAACATTTTTTCTCTAAATTTTTTGAGTTGGGAAATTTGTCACAACCATCTCTGATTTGTGAACAGTTTTGATTTTGACAAATTGGCATTTTTTAGTGAAAAATTTTTTTATAAAAAAATTTCTTACCTGATTTCTTGAAAGTTCTCAGCACTTATTTCTAGGTCCAGGGCAGCTGAACTGCGGAGCCCAATGTGACGAGATCCCCAGGGTGCAGCCTGGGACTGTGGGACAACTGAGACCCCTTAATTCTCCAGCCTGGGCTCTCTCACACAATGCTTTGCTAGTGACCAGCAGCAAACCACTCCATATATGGAGCCCCAACCCAGCTAGATTGCATGAATGCTCCCAGAGCCACTCATGAATCACACAGAGAAAGGCACCAGCTGAATCTCCCCAGATCCCAGCCTTGCACCTCAGGCTACCATTGAGACGATCAGTGCATTTATCAAACCAAACATCTTTATTAATTATCTGGATGTAGGAATAGAGAGCATGCTGATAAATTTGCAGATGACACAAAGCTGAGGGGATTGCCAACACTTTGGAGGATAGATTCAGAGGGATCTTGATAAATTGGAGAACTGGGCTATAGACAACCAAATGAAATTCAACAAAGACAAACATAAGGAGCTACACTTCGGATAGAAAAACAAATGCACAAATACAGAATGGGGGATAACTGGCTCGGCAGCAGCACTACTAAGAATCTGGGAGTTGTGGTGGATCACAACCTCAACATAAGTCAGCAATATGAAGCTATTGCAAAAAAAGCAAATGCAATTTTGGTTTTCATTAACAACGGGGTAGCATGCAAGTCACAGGAGGTGATAGTACTGCTCTATTCGGTGCTGGTTAGGCCTCAGCTGGAGTTCTGTGTCCAGTTTTGGTCTCCAATGTATAGAAAGGTCGTGGAGAAATTGGAAAGGATCCGGAGGTGAGTGACAAAGATGATCACAGGGATGGAATGCAAGTCACACGCGCAAAGGCTGAAGGAACTGGGTCTGTTTAGTTTGGAAAAGAGGAGATTAAGGGAGGTTATGATAGCACTCTTCAAATACTGAGAAGGCTGAAATAAAAAAAGATGGAGAAAGCTGTTTTCTTTTGCCACAGAGGACAGAACAAGAGGTGAAGGGTTCAAGCTACAGCATAGCGGATTTAGATTAAATCTCAGGAAAAACTTCCTAGCTGTAAGAGCAGTAGGACAATGGAACAGATGTGCCTAGGGAGGTTGTGGAAGTGCCTTCACTAGGGGTTTTCAAAAAGAGGCTGGAGCCAGCTGTCTTGGGTGGCTTAGACACAACAAACCCTGCATCTTGACGGGGGTTAGAGTAGATGACTCCTGTGATCCCTTTTAGCCCTATGGTTCTATGATTCTAGGCAAAAGGAAATTCTTAACAACAGATCCTTTCACCTTGAAGAGCAGTGTGAGAATTACGGATCTGTGGAAACAACTAAAGTTCTGAAATGCCTCCACCCCCTTGTAGTGTAGGCTTTTGCGAGCCGGAGGCTTGTCAGCATGACAGGCTAGCATGGTCTCTTCTGAGTTCTCCCCTCTGCAGTTCATGCTGCTTACACTTGGCGATGTTCAGCCTTTTGCCCAGGGAAACTCTCTTAGTACTGCCTGACTGTAAAGACCATGGAGGTCCATGTCTGCTCTCACAATTTGCCCCACCTCTTTCTGTCAGGGGCATGTTTTTCCAATTGAGGGTGATTCTCATTAAGAGTTCTTAGGTCTAGTTCAGTATTATCCCTCCGTCTTCTCCTTGGTCAGACACCATATGGACGTCCTTCCAAGAGATGTTTAGCTGGTCTGTCTCCTGTCATCCTAACTACATGCCCAGCCCACTGATCTATTTCCCAGCCATCTGATTTCTTGCAGGGCTGTCATGTGTATTTGCCATATTTTGGAGAGCTCTCCTGGCCTATATAAGCTCAAAACATTCCATGTTCCTAGTATCCAATCCTTCTTCCATCACTGAGGTCATTTATCCATATCATCATCAGTTGTTTCAGAGGGGTAGCCTTGTTAGTCTGTTTCAGCAAAAGCAACAAGGAGTCCTGTGGCACCTTAAGGCTAACACATTTATTTGGGCATGAGCTTTCATGGGCTGGAACCCACTTCATCAGATGCATGAAGTGGAAACTTCAGTTTGGCAGGTGTATATATATGCATGCAAAGATGGGTGTGTGAGATTACTATGCGGAGGACCAGTGCTAACGAGGTCAATTCAGTCAAGGTGGATTTGGCCCACTCCTAACAGTTGTTGAGAAGGTGTGAATACGAAAAAAGGGAAAATGACTTTTTGTAGTGAACTAGAGTAAAGTGATTTTCCCTCTTTTCGTATTCACACTTTCTCATCAACTGTTAGGAGTGGGCCACATCCACCAGCCCATGAAAGCTTATGCCCAAATAAATCTGTTAGTCTTTAAGGTGCCACAGGACCCCTCGTTATCATGATTTGTGTTTTTTCCAGGTTTATTTGAGAAATCCTTAACAGATGTACTTTATATGGGATACGGTTGTTAGCCTTATTCCAACCCCCAACACAGACAGCCAATGGATTGCTCCATGGTCTGACACCTATCCTATCCAGTGTGGCAAACTCTGTTGGTGGCAAAGCTACCACTGGCTCAGCTCTCAGGGTCATGAGTACTCAAGCCCTTCCACCATGTCAATCCCTCTCCACAACGTCAGTCTGTAGGAAGGGGCAGAGAAACCGCCTGTTTTTAAATAAAATCCCAGCCTGAGACATTCTTCCCTCAACCATGTATTCGTATTGCCAAGCTCCATCCTTCACCCATGCAGGGCTCACCCGTTCACTGAGGATGGGCCAGGGTGGCACATTCCCTGACAGTTCCCCAATACCCCCTCCTAGGTAGGGCCCATGTCTTGGCATTGCCTCATGCACAGCATAGTTTGATACAGGCAAGCAAAAAGCAAGGCATAACTTGGTACGAACCTGCCTCCTTCTGTTACACCAACCATCCCAACTTTTCTTCTTTTAATCCTGTGCACTCTTGACCTCAGTTATACATTGTGGCAATGAATGAAAAATGACGGCATTTAAGCACCTTAAGAAAGGGAGAGAAGTTTTGATTCAGTTCCATTGACGTCAATGGGAGCTATGTTGGGTTTGATCAACAGAGCACTGAGGCTCTGATTGTCAGAAGGGCTCACAAGAGCTACATGAATGACTGATTTTGTTGTCCACTGGCTGTTCCAAAAAATAATATTAAAAAGAGACATCTTTCAAGTCAACCTAAAATGATTTATTTTTAATTTTCAGCCCACCAAAAAGTTGAAGAAAAATTCATTTTGGGTCGAACAAAATATTATGATTCACCCAAAATAAAACATTTCATTTTATTTTTGAGCTTTCACATGTTTTCTGAGTTTTTAAAATAAAGTTGAATTTCAAAACAAAAAGTTGTTTTGAATTGAAAAAATCGAAAAGTTTCATTTAGAAAATATCTAAACAAAACGTTTCACATTTTTTGGAATTCACTTTTAGGGTTTTTTTGTGGGGGGATTGACCAAAACAATTTGACGAATTTGACATGAATTCATGGAAGGTTTTAGGTGACCCAAAAATGCTTTTTTTGGTGAAAAAAGCTTCAGGCAAAATGTTTCTTTTCCCACCTCTAGTTGTCACTAACTCAGTTGTGTAGTCCATGCTCAGCACCTACCAAAATCAGGCCCTAAAAGGTTGGGTCTTGGCTACCTTAGAAGTGTAGTAGCGCTGTGTTGAGATCAGCAGAGATTCTTGAGTGGAGCTGGTGGGAAAACAATTTTTTCCCTATGGAAAATTTCAACAAAAATGGGAGGGGATTGTTTTTATTGAAAATTGCCAGAGAAAAGTTTGACTTTTTGGTGAAAAATCAAAAATTTTCTGCTGAAAAACCCAAATATTTTGATTCTGAAATAATATATAGCACTTTTAATCAGTAGATCTTAAAGAATTCACAGTTTTTAATGTATTTATCCTCTCAACTCTCCTGTGAGGCAGGGCAGTTATCCCAATTATTCAGAGGGGGAACTGAGAGGCTGAATGACTTGCCAAGGTCACGCTGAAAGTTTGAGGTACACTAGGGAATTGAACCTGGGTTTTTTAAGTCTTAGACTAGTGCCCAAACCACTGGACTATCCTTCCTCTCAAAATGCCAATGTAGTGTCTCACAGAAGTTGTAGTTTGGGTGCTTCATGTTCCCAGTCTCCTCTATAGGCTGGACTCCCTTGTTGGACTACATCTCCTATGACTCACCATGGTCTCCACTCATGGCAAGGAGAAATGGTTGCACCATGGAAGATGGCGACCTGGTAAGGATCCCAGCCCAAAGAGGAGAATGGAGACATGAGACAACAACTGAACTACAACTCCCATCAGGCACTATAGCAGGATATCCAAATAGAAATGTGATTTCCAGATGTTTAGTTTTTTGATGAAAAATCCAAATATTCCACAGAAAGCAGGTCCTTTTCATGTTAGTGTTCTGGTTACCTGATGTAAAAAGAGAGAGACTGGGTGTCCCAAGACAAATCCCCACTTAATCAAATGATTCAGATTATCCAGGTTAAGTTGTAAAAGAAAGTATAACATTCATAGTGCCTTAATGATCTTGAAAACAAGCTGTATTCTATAAATTCTACTTTCCCATTGTGTATTTGACACATTACAGATCCTGGAAAAAATTGAAATGGTTGGGAAGCTCTACTTGCAACTTCTCAGCGTTGGCAACATCCTTTTCATAGATTGGAAAGCTGAAGTTTACTGTGACCCCAAACGCAAAGTAACAATCTACGCAGAGTTTGGAATAGCCGGAATCCTTGTTCAGAGTAAAAAACCCATCCTGGAAGAATTAGATGGCATTTGCAAAATCATGGAGCATTGCCTTGTAGAGTGGAAGAAATATCTGGAGACTCAAAGGAACAATTATTGCCATCTAAACATGTTCACTGCACGCCAACTCTTCTACTTGTGTAGCAAGTTAGCCAAACTGCATGAAGGACAAACAGACCCACAGGCTCTCAATATGCTTTCTGTTTTCAAGCATGATGTTAAAGAAGAGGATATCAGAGAAGCATTAAAGAGAGCACTTGAAACTCCTGCAGAATCCGTTGATATATCAGAGAAGGATGATCAGTCCGTGTCCTGGAATGACTACATTGTTAAATTTCCTCAGCTCATCCAAGGTCTGGTTGAGTCTGGGTATGACGAATCAGTGGGTAAGGCAGCTCTCCAGAGTTATCTGCCAAACTCAGCCATCACTGAGCAAATGCTCATGGAATTCGCCTTAGACTATGCTGATGAAGAGGAAAAGATTGAAGAGCTGAGCAAATTATACGACGAGCAGAGAGAAGCCTTTCTGCAGAAGTCCATGAAGTTTAAAAACAGGAACAGAGATGTGGATCCATCCACCTTCCAAAGCCTTGCAAAAGATGAAGTGGCCACTTCCTTTGAGAGTTTGCCGTCTATCCATGCCAAGGTGCATTTGCTCTGGAACGCTTACCGTAGCAAGCTCACTGGCTTGGTGTCAGACAAATACATTAGCCTGGATGTTTTCGGTGAAATGCTGAAATACCTGACATCTCCTGAAACCGCTGTAATTGAGAGGAATTTACCAGTGGGTTTGGAAGCGGGGAAGCCTTGCCTCGTCACATGTAAAGAAGAGCAGATGTTACCCTTCTTGTTGTCTGTCTATACGCACTCCAAGGGGGCACCTCTTCCAACGTATGATGAGGTGCTGGTCTGTACCCCTGAGACAGAGGAAGAAGACATTGAGCTGATTGTGAGGAGAGCTCTTTCTCCAGACCCCAGACACAAAAAGATCTATTGCTTGCTTGGTGCAGAAAAATTAGTTTACAAAGTCTCCAAGAACCTAGAGTCCCTCTTCTTCCACTTTGCACAATCTTGCAGCAATGCCGATTACAGATTTCTCATCTTCTGTGATGCCAAAGCTCACAATTCTTATGTTATGACGGCCTTTGACACATACAAAGTCTCCTTTTCCTGTGATTCGGGAGTAGAAATTCAGAAATACCTGAAGACACACCTGAGAGTGCCCAGTGGGGTGGCACCTGTTGCTCAGGTCTTTGAAAAGCCCTTTCAACAGAACGTGAAGTTTGTATTTTCAGAGCGAGCTGGCATGGGTAGGTTTTAGTAGAGATTTAATCTGGATTATCATTGTCCTGATGAGTATGAATTGAATACAGATTAACGGCTATTATCTATTTAGCCCTTAGGCACTGGGAGATGGAGCAGAATCAGTCTTCTCTGTCCCAGCTCCTCTCATGGTGCCCCAGAGAACATAGGGAACAGGTAGACCCATGGTCTACCTAGAGGTGTAGCTATGGGCACACTTTCCCTGTGAGGCTCTTGCGTATCTTTTGACACTGTTAATCAAATAGGTTGTTGGGTCCAGACTCGGCTCTGGGGCTCCAGGGGGTGGCTAAGGAGCCGGCTGAAGAGAATCTACATCAGAGTGGAGCAGAAAATCTGCCCTTAGTTTTAGCTCAGTTTATGATCTGGATTAAAAGGGTGGGGATTCAGAACCTGAACTGGTATCACAGTCACTGGGCCTTTACCATTTAGAAAGTTCATGTTACAGCAAGTTGTACCATGCCTGCCCTGTGGAGCGAAGGTGAGATTTCTCCAGTGTAGAAACTTCTTTCCTAGCTCCCCAGCTGAAGAAGAATTATACAAAAAGGCCAGATCTTCAGCCTGTGTACGTGAGCGTAGCTCCACTCACTCCAATGGCGCCACACCCGTTCACACCAGCTGGGAATCTGCACCACTGACTCCAGCTGACTTATGTCCATTTATACGAGCTGGGGATCTGGCCCATCGACGCCAATGGAGCTATGGCTGGTTTACACCAGGTGGGGATCTGGCCTTCTCTGCTTCAGGTGAAGAAATAGAAACATGAAGACAGAGTATGAGAAGGCAGAGCACTGTAGAAATTGAATCTTGACCTTCTCTCTCATTTTAGGGAAGTCTTTGTTTGTAGCAAATACCACCAGAAAAGCCAAAACCCGATCAGAGAATGCAGAGCTGAGACACAAAACCATTAGGCTGACGGAGTCGGAAATAGATTTTGGATTTCTCCTGGAGGAGCTTCGCTCACTGGAACAAAAACCAACTGAGGCTGGGCCCAGGATCTTCCACATTGACGTATCCCCTGTGGTAAGTGTCTCTTTACTGAGCGCAATCTCCATGCCATGATATACAGCGAAGATGGATTCTCTCATTCAAAGTGTGAATGTGCCTTTCAGTGTCAGATAAATAAACCCCTTCCACTGGTAGTTATGGAAAGCAGTTAGTACCATCCAATTTCTGTAACAAAGGGTTAAACTATGAACAGGGGTGTCACAAAAATGTAGTTGTCTTACTAGAAGTTCCACCACAAACCAAACTCTACTCACCCACTTGTGATGCCAGAAGAAGGTGATGCTCACAGTAGATTTTAACTCTGCATCACTGTGCGGTGTCCCAGCACCTGCTACTCTGTCACAATGCCCGCAAATCTCTTTGTATTGCCATTGTCCCTGTCACTGTCACAGCGACAGCCCAGCATTTACTGTCACATCAGCAGGGAGACCACACAATGGGTCAAATCCTTGGCTGGTGTAAATCAATGTAGCTTGCTTGAAGTCAAGGGCGCTATGCCTGTTTTACACCAGCTGAGGTTCTAACTGGGGTGTACTTTCGTGGGGCATCTCTTCTCTCTTGTTGATTTATTGATTCTTCAATAACTCAGAAAGTTTAGTAACAATGGGAAGCAATGAACAGTTGACATTTTGATGAAGCAAAACTGACCAACCCTGCATCTTTCTTGACAGGTCTCGAAGGGTCTTTACAAGTTACTGATTGAGCTGTGCATTCTGAGACACATCCAAAGCCCTGATGGCATGGTCTGGAAGTGCAGAGAGTCCCATCTTTATTTGATTGAATACCTGGTGAGAGGAAAAGGCATAAGCAGCACAAGAAAACAAGAGGTATTCTCCAAGTGATAGTGAATGGCAGGTTTTCTCTGGAACCTAGCAACGTGCATGTGATAGCAGCATGTTAAAATTCAAAGTGAGAAAACCTTGATGGAACTACAAGTCTTTGGCCAGTATTGTACCATCCAAAAATAGAGAAAAATGATTGAGCTGTATAAAATCATGGCTGTTGGAGGAGACACATATTGTCCGTACTAGAGCTGTTTGGAAAATGGAATTTCCATCCTGTGGAAAAATCTGCTCTTTCAACTTTTTATCCGAACTTTGGAAAGTTCTGAAAAGTTTTGATTCAGAAATATCAAAATGAAAAACGGCAACATTTTTGACTGAAAGAAAATGTTCAGACATGTCAAAAGGATTTTTTTTCAAATTTTGACATTACCAAATCAAAATCATTTTTTTGACATGTGATTCAAAACAAAAAATGTTGTTTTTTTAATGGAAAATTGAAAAATGTAATCAAACTGTAATCAAAACGGACCCTTTCCTGCAGAAAATTTCAGTGAAACCACATTTTCTGTCAGGAAACTTTTTCAGTCAAAAAATGTGGCCAACTCTAGTCAGTATCCAGAGGAGCTTTAGGCTGTCCACATTGTATATGTATAGGTTACAGTTAAGCAGCCTGCCTTGACTCTTGTGACGCTGTTTATACCTATACGATGCTACCATTCTGATCTAATACTGTTGTACAAATGACAGCACAAGGTGCCAACCAATGGAAAATCAGACCCCAAGATTGGTACTTAGCTTGTTTAGAGCATCAACTACACACAGAAGTGTGCAAGAGGCAAGAGCACTGGATTATATTAGAGTAAGGCTTTTTTCATAGCAGGGCTTATAGTTTACCTAAAATTGGCTACTTCTCATCTTTAAAGTCCCGTGAATTAAACACTATCATCTAGGAAGATGAGATGGTATCATTTATATTTGAGGATTGGGTAAGTTACTTCATAAATCTAAATTTGGCTGTATCCGTGAATGATTTGCACCGTGTAACATGGTGCTACCTTATCCAAATTCTTTGTGCTCTGCTCATTAAGCCACGTCCTCATGAATAATATTAATGTCAATGTGTAGATGATTTCTTCAGTTTGTTTGGGTAACTTCAGTGTTTATAAAGCTTTAACTCCTTGTCATTTGGCTTTTAGATGACCAGTGAAATGGAGAAAGGATTTCTAGGTCTCCTTCCAGCTGTGAAATGCATGTCACCAGTAGAAGTACTAGAGATGCTTAAAAACAACAGTTCTGGAGATGCTGCTGAAGTGGAACAACAGCTACTGGACAGTGACACGTTCAGGGGTGATGCCTTCCAAAGGTCATACCAGTACATCAGCAGATACCAGCGAAAGGCCGATCTTGACAGGTTCTGTTTCACCCCTGGGAGGGTTGAAGGGACCCAGGAAGAGTGTCTGAGGCTCTTGTTGGACTCCTGTGGGAGAAAGAACCCTTCCTGGACTGAGCTCAGCAACTTCACACGCTTCCTAAACCTCCAGCTGATGAAGTGTGAAAACTCAGTGTTCTGCAGCAGCGAATTAGTGGAAGAGGGATTTAAGGGGTTCAAGGCATTTGTGATAAAATTTATGATCACCATGTCCAAGGACTTTGCCTTGCCTTCCCTAGCCATGGCAGATGAAAGCTCACCCAGCGAAGAGGAGAAAATGGACGAGGACAGTGTATTGAGAGGGTACCAGTTAAGACGCAAGTGGGAGCAAGAATCTCACCCCTACATAATTTTCCATGCTGACAACCACTCCATGGAGTTCTTGGGTTTCCATATCAATTCGAATTTTGATGCTGTTGATGCACATTCACAGGCTGTTCTAGAGAAGAAGGTTATTGACCGACATTTATATCGCACCCTTGAGTTTCAGAAAGTCCCTTTCAATAAAAAGTTTGAAGATCTGTCCAGACAAGAGCAGCTAGAAACTCTCTGCAGCGTATTCGGTGTGAGAAGCTCCCAAGACCCAGATGAATCCTACCAACTGACCCTGGACAATACCATGAAAATGCTGGCCATTCACCTGAGGTTCCAGTGTGGGATTCCCGTGATCGTCATGGGCGAAACAGGCTGTGGGAAGACCAAGTTGGTGCAGTTCATGTGCAGCTTGCAAAGAGCAGGAAAGGATGTTCAGAATATGATGCTGGTGCGTGTTCATGGAGGCACCAGCTCCAAAATCATCCACCAGAAAGTCAAGGAAGCCATCGAGCTGGCGCGCGTCAATGAAGAGACGCACAACATGGACACGGTGCTGTTCTTTGATGAAGCCAACACCACCGAAGCCGTGTTTGCAATTAAAGAGGTCCTATGTGACCAGAGTGTGAATGGAGAGCCAATCTCCACCACTCGCTTAAAAGTGGTGGCTGCTTGCAACCCTTACAAAAGGCACACCAAGGAAACCATTGAGAAGCTAGAGAAAGCTGGCTTGGGGTACAGAGTTCGGAGTGAAGACACCCTAGAAAAGCTGGGCTTCATCCCTTTGAGGCAGCTTGTTTATCGGGTGCAGCCTCTTCCACCGAGCATGTTGCCTCTTGTCTGGGACTTTGGAGAGCTAAATGAAAATACTCAGAGTCTGTACATCAGACAGATTGTTAAATCCATCGTGAAAGACAAGCTTCCCGAAGAGAACATGGATGTTTTTACCTCTGTCATTTCCACCTCCCAGAAGTTTTTAAGAGAAAAGAAAGAGGAATGCAGAATCGCCAGTCTCCGGGACATAGAGCGCTGCATGCGGGTGCTGCTGTGGTTTTATAACTTAAGAAACCTGCTTTTTCCTCTTATCGATTTAAAAAAGAGTGAGGCTCAACAGTCAAATGGCTATGACCCGTCCATTCATGCCCTTGCAAAGGGGTGTGAGAAAGATCAGATATCTGCATTAAATGAAGCACAAAGATCTCTGGTTCTTGCAGTTGGGGTTTGCTATTATGTATCTCTCGAGAGTCGCCAAGATTATCTGAAAGAGATAGCGAAATGCTTCTCTGTGCCCGAATCCCTGCTTCAGCTAGAGATTGTACTTTGCCAAGAGGTGTTCCTGGATAACCTCTCTGTTCCCAGCACAACAGCACGGAA